AATATCAGCCATAAATCCTCTTCATCATACTTGACCTCCATGATCTCCAAATCAACGATGATTTCTTTAAACATAGATAGATGATCTTCCAACGATCCACCTTTTGTCAAACAATGAGAATACAAGCTCTACTTCAAGTGCTATTTACTTATCAAGCTCTTTGTCATACAAAATTTCTCAATTGAAATTCTCATAGGAAGACATAACTGAAAGCCGCTTAATTCAATGGTTTCAGATTCTAAATCAAAGAAAAGAAGTCCCTAATTTCACAAATTAAGGAAAAATAACAAAGAATGGGTGGAAACTACCCGCACAAGAACGTGAAAAAACATCGGTACTTTCACAAAACTACTCGCCGCACCAAATTTCTTCTTAAAGGCAATGACGATGTTTATGATGAGCTTCATAAAGCTGAGGGAGAGGAGAAACCCTTGCTCGTTGATAAAGATCTCCCTGGAATGGGCCAATATTACTGTCTACCCTACGATCAGTATTTTACNNGTCTACCCTACGATCAGTATTTTACTAACATGGCTATGATGGATGAGCATTTCATGACTAAAAAGCATAGGAGACATGTGAAGCGAATGATGGGGCTTGCACTTCATGCACAACTTATTGCCGAACTAACTGCTAGGATGGGAATGCCGAATAATGGTACAAAGTTGATGTCAATGTGAGTTTGTCTTGTTGGGGTTCTTGGATAATGTTGACGGAGATGTCAGTGTTCTTTTATGTTTGTTTAGATTACTGTTTAAATGGTTAGTTGATTCATTTTTCCTAATTATCTTATGTAATTATAATAGTTTTTTTTTTATTCTTAATGCTTCTGTATTTTCCTGAGTAGCAATAGGTTAGAGCCCGGGATCGGCAAGCCTTTACCTTTTAAGATTTTTTTATTTGAAACAAAAATAAATAAAAAATAAAATTATTTCACAAGATTTGATACTCTAATTCTAAACAATTATCTCAAATTTCTAATGTATAAAACAATGGTCCAATTGTTGTGTTGAATCTATGAAGAGCCTAGACCACGTGAAGTATTTATGGGAGCCAAATCTTGAAGTTAGGATGAAATAGAACAAAAAAACGTAGCTAAAATCATTTAGGAGTTTCTTTTTCCCGTCTAGGTGGTGTTACGACACCACCAACTTGGCACCCAATGCCAGACCTCTGTTGGTAAATAACTCCTTGGGCACCGCGATGCCCGCGCCTTGTCCTCTTTGTGCGTTGTGCGTTGCCAGTACTCAGTACCGCGTCCTGACACTTTGGCTTTGTCTTTATGTTTCCAAAATATTTCTTCATCAATCTCGAAGTCCTTATCCCAATCAAACTCTCAATGCATGATGAAATTTGATCATTTACCAAAATAGACTTCCAAACCAAAATTATCTAGGTTTTCTCCATGAACCAAACTTCCATGTTGTTATGCCTCGCCTCCGAGGCTTAAAGTAAAAAGCACCACGTGGCAAGCCACGTAAGCAGAAAGTCAAACAAAGACCCATGAGGTCAAAATACGAAGAAGTTAAACAAAACCGAAGTCCTTACACTGCAGAGACGAAGTCCAAACTGAGACACTATCTCAAAGATGAAGCTGCCTAAAGAAACAAAGAAATGAACTGAAGCTCTCCACTTAGAGGACCACTTCGAAGATTCCTCCGAGGCTCTCATACTCGCCCGAAGCTCAGGGGCCGACGCTGTTTCTTGTGATAGATCTGAAGATTTTCTAAAAATAATTGATGTAACTCTTGTAATAAAGTTTGTCAGTGTGTGAGTCTATTGTATAGAACGATTGATCCCTTATCAATGTATTAAATGCATGAATATACAGAGATGTGACGTCTCAATTGGAGAGATTAGGCCACGTGGTTCTGATCCAACGATCACTTCGGCCAAGATTGTATACATAGGTTCTCTGTGTAACTTAAAAGGGTGTGGGATTATTGATTGGAATAGAGACAATCATATTTCGAGATACACACTTGAACGCTAGAGTGAAATATATAAACATTTGAGCTTATTTTCTATCTTCTTTATATGCTTATGAGCTGTAAATCTCAACATACAAGATAGTAATTTATATACGTATTTCATCTATCCTTCTACATATTCCCATTTGTTATTACATAGATTAGTTTGATCTCAACTCGGCGATCGTCGTTAGTGCGATTGCTTTTGTTTCATCCGTTGGAGCTTGAACATTCTTGTTTCTCGCCGCAAAGTACCTCCCGCGTCCATTTTCTCTTTGCTACAACCGCTTCCGATAGGACTGGTCTTGAATCGTACTTGATTTAGCGTACCAGAATCATACTTGATTTGGCGTGAGTGGGTCCGACAATCTGTTGGCTCATTTTCAGGGCTCAACAGAATGGTGTCGTCTATGGGAAAACTTACATTTAACCACGATAATACTTGTAGGAAAAAGCCAGTCATAAATATTTTGGTAAGAAAGTTCTAACCCTTGAAAAATGAGTATCATTGAAGAAAGGACCGTTAGAAACGCCCAACCCTTGAAAAATGAGACTTCTTGAAGAAAGAACCATTGGAAAATCCAAAAATCCGATACTTGTTTGATCCTAAAAGAAAGGAAAATTTGGTTGAGAAAAGTGGTTGTGAAAAATGAATTGAAATGGTGATGGAAGTGCACCTCGTAGAATAAGGGAACACCACGAAAACCCTCACGAGTTGTCCCAGCTGCTCGCCAACGACCCCTATAACATAGGCGAGGTAGGTCTAGAGGCGGAGGCAGAATTACAACTAGGCTTACCAGAGAAATGGCAACAATGGCTACCAACATGAAAAGTATAACCTAGCAAAATATGGCTATGTATGAAATGTTGATGAGCATGCAGGGCCGAGGAGGGTGCCCCGTTCCTGCATATGCAGCCCTTGAAAATGTATTCCGTGATCCTCATGAGTACTGTCCCGAAGAAGAGGAAGATTAAAGCCAAATGGCTAGATACCATCACACTAGGGTGGAAGTTCCCCAGGAAATAGAGGTTGAGGTTCATACATCAACCAATTATGCCTCGGAACAACCCCATGAAGCCCCATATATCTTTATTCCCAACTATGAGCCAGAAGACCGACCTCAGAGATCAGCAAGTATCTTCGACAGGATAAGCTCATGGTTGCCTAGAAATAGGTAGACTCATTTACCCCATACGCCTAGAAATAGGTAGGCTTATTCTCTTCATCATGTTCCTAGAAATAGGCAGCAAGAGCCTCTTCGATATGGAAGACAAGAACCTGCCTACCATGAAGAGCCTAAAATTCCTCTTCTTAGAAATAGGCACGAAAGAAAAGACCGATCTATGATCCCAACCACATCTCCAAATCCACCCAAGGGAGGATGATGACTCTGATGAACCACAAAGGTCCTGCGACCTTGATGATGACGATGACCATTTGCCATTCTCACAAGCTATTAGAAAGCCCCAATGCTGAACCATTTCACACTCCCTAAAAATTCTAAGTATGATGGGAGAGGTGTACCCTCGAAGCACATCAAAAGCTTCAAATCTCATATGAATTTGAAAGAAGCCACCCCAGCTGTGAAGTACAGAGCCTTTCACTTGATACTAAGTGGAGGAGATGAAATCTAGTATACAGGATTACCAGAAGGTAGCATCTGGAGCTGACCAGACCTCAAAAGGATGTTCTTAAAGCGCTTTCATACTAGCAAAGAGGACAGAAGGCCCATTCAATGGTTGCAAGATATACGACAACAATAGGACGAGATGCTGAAAGCTTAATGTCCCGCTTTACTGATGAAATGACCTGCTATATGCAAATCGAAGATAAGGAAGCTATAAGTGCCTTAAGAAGAGGCTTGGACTTGAACTCTCTCTTTTGGAGAGACGTGTAAAATAAGGACCCTTCCACCTATGAAGCTCTATTAGAAATGATAAGGGTAGAAATCCTCAATGAGGAATTGAGAGGTCATAGGAACAAGGGCAGCCAGGAACTTCTCCCTCCTCAAATGCAAAGGGGGAGAGGTCCTACTTTCCATTTGATGGACCACCAGACACCCCTGAATCATGGAGAAGAACTAGCTGCAGCAACACTCAATGTAGTAACAACTTTGGCCTATGAAGAAGTAAATTCTAATGCTAAAATGCATCAGCGTCAGCCTTACCAGAGGCACTCGCAAAGGGAAAAAAGGTAGGAGGCGAGGCGCTGAACCTAGAAACAGGGATGAAGCATGGAAAATTGTTGGGACGTCGTAAGATACTCCTAAAGCACGAATTAAGGAAGATGAAGGTGCTTCCTAAGAGATGCTTCTCCCAGGCAAACCCAACAGTTTGGGAACGATGAGCCCAGGTGCCCCAATAGAAATAACTCCCCAATGGGAAGATATAACGACACAGAAAGACCCAGAGAAGGACAAAGATGAAGATGAAGTCCCCCAACAAATGATGGCCAGGAGCCCATCAGGGAAATTGACACAATCATAAGAGGCCCAAACGTGGAGAGAGAATCTAGAAACTCTAGAGAAGCAATAGTCCTCATATAACAAGTTTCATAGTTAACCAATCTCTGCCGGATGGACAATTCCACCAATCACATTTACCCAAGAAGATGAAATCGGTGTGGATTATGCACACTGCGACACCCTAGTGGTGAGGAAAGTTGTGGCCTGCAACGGCCTGAAAAGAATGTTAGTGGATAATGGAAGTTCGGTCAATATCATCTTTAGAACTACCTTTGACAAGATGAAAGTTGACCATGACCTGACCCCAATGAGTTTTTCCTTATATGGCTTTACTAGAGACATCATCATTCCAAGGGAAAAAATGACTCTAACAATAGAGATGGGGATTGCGCCCTTGACTGCTCACCATTTCATGGAATTTTTCGTGGTCGATAACCGCTGTACTTATCATGGAGTACTTGGGAGACCACCCTTGAAAGAACTATGGGCTATCAACTCCATTCACCACTTACGTATGAAATTTCCATCTGAAAATGGCATTGCCACTGTTCCAGGCGATCAGCGAAGTGCTAGATAATGTTATTCAAACTCCCTAAGGAAAACTGAACTAAGGATTGTCAACGTTATTGTCACCAACCTTGGCATGAACGACGTCCCTGAACAAGGAGAAGATGTCGAGATGAGCGATGCCGATGAAGAAGGGACCATTCTTAGAGTCATACGAACCTCTGATGAACAGGCTGTTCACAAAAGACAGACCAACCTTGAAGAAAGAAGGGCTACTGAAGAAGCAGTTAACTTGGAAGCGCTGGACCCTCGCATCGTTGATTGCGAACCTCAAACAGTACCTATGGAGGAGTTGGAGAGCTTCCCAGCAAACCTACAGGTTCCCTCCAAGCACTTACAGGTTGGAAGAAATCTGGCAATAGAAGCAAAATAGGAGCTGAAAAGCTTCTTGCAAAAAAATTCTTGATGTGTTTGCCCGGAAACATGGCAATATGGTAGGCATTAATCTAAAGATCAGTTGCCATCATTTGAACATCGACCCAAAGGTTGTAGTACATAGGCCAAAAATAAGGGCTCTCAACCCTAAAAGATATGAGGCTTTGAAGGATGAAGTTAAGAAGCTAATCGATAATGGATTATCTGGGAATCAATATATCCTAAGTGGGTCTCAAACCTAATATTGGTCAAAAAGCACAATGGGAAGTAAAGGGTTTGTGTAGACTTTTCAAATTTAAACCA